TATACATATAACCTACCATAACTGAAGTCAAATACTTAATAATATAACCATTAGGAATGACAAGCAAGCATTCACGACTTAAGACACTATCCCTACATTTGCTTGAGTGTCAGAGGAAAATTTCAAAACAAATGATCATGATGAAAGGCAGATTTAGAATCAAGCAACCACCTAGTATCATGCCATTAGGATACCTGTGCTTGTTCCTTAGTTATTTTTTGGATGTTCTAATTTGGTTGTACACCATTATAAATTCAGTGTTATATTCCAACATTGTAATTCACTTAACAGAGCCATTTCAGTCTAATTTCCTAATTTTTTAAGAAAATGCAAGCTTAAGATATGTCTATGTGAATCCCGAACCCCCCCCCCCCCAATAAAATTATTTTTGAACCACCTGATAAACTGTCATGGAACTTGATATTAAACATCATGTCATCAGAGCATCCCAACTTTAAATTAATTATAGTCAGTAATACCAAAGTGATAGCAATGCAAATTTGTGATACTGAAGTGAGTCTAGCATTTGAGTTATATCAAACAAATTTAAGTCATACATTATACAACTGAAATTAATGCACAGAATCATCATCATCATCTTGTATGACTATTAACTCTCAGTTTTTGGTAGCTTCAGTGAATAGACTGAAGCACCTGAAAGAAAGTATGTGTCACAAGTTCTTCCCTCAGCTTTCAGTATTTTAATTTTCAAACAGCTTGGTGGGCTTTTTTTAATACAATATACCAAATAATGTAAAACATCTGAATCACAGGCATGCTGGCTAAGAGACTAATGAACTTGCTGGTCAGTAACACGGTCCTAGCACTGGTGCCTATGACAGTCTCTGAAAAGAATGTTTGATGACAAACCACAAACAGAAAGAGTTAATTTACTGCTGCCTGCATAGACTTCTTGGATGCATTTGGCTCCATTCCATATGAAGCCATCTTTGCAGGGTTAGACAGAATGAAAGTCAGAGATAAATTTGTAAACTTAATTAAGAATATATACTGTGGCAGTACAACCTGAATACTGATAAACATTTAAACATCAAACAAAGCTATCCAGTATCACATTATTACAATACGCCCAATTATAAGGGAAATGCAGGATCAAAAGGCACAACACTAGCATACACAGAAGACTTTGTGATACTTGGTGAGAATTCTGTGTTTATGTAAGTTCGGATATTCATACTGTAACTACAGTAACTGCTGTACAATACAAACATCTGATTTAACACTTCAGTACTAATAACTATCATAAAGAAGTGATACTGTTCTTATTTTTATGATTGTATAGTATTGTAACACATGTGAGAAAAATATTACGTGATTTTTCTGGAAGTTGGGAAACTGATTTTTTTAGAATATAAAATAAGTAAACAAACAACTATTAACACTATAAAAAGACACTATTGCCAAACGCGTTTCAACCTCAAGAGGTCATTATCAGTGGCATCGGGGAAATGAATTCATTTAAGCAAAATTTTTTTTATCTAAAGCCTTCTTGGTCTTGTTGTGGTAAGTTAAGGATAGCAGCTTCTGTTTCTAGTACAAGGTTTTCTAGCCAATCTTTGGGGTGTATGTACTGTAAGTTCTATTTCTCTGTGATTGAATGTGACTTGTGATAGGTTTTTGACTCTTTGGAAAAAACGTTCGTTGTGGTTGGGTTTTTGTGGGTGGTCTAACCGTTTTGTTAACTTTTTTAACCGAAGTTTGTGGGAATTTAATTTTTGATAGATAAAATTCCACCTTACAAAGAGTTTTCATCAAATGAATTACATTCGTAAATCAATGGATGGGTGTATTTACTTACATAATTTTCTCCATTCTGATTGTCTCTCTTACATGCAAAGTATTTGATTTCTTAGTATTACAATTTTCCTTTCCACAATATCAAGTTGGTATCAATGGCCAATGAGCACAGATTGTAAGCCACTATGTTCAAGAGAGACTGAATGCAGACCTGACCCAACCCACATTAAAGCACATTTCCACTAAGCACACTTCCTACCTGTCAGAATGATACATCCAGTCTATGTGGAATAAAGAACATCAAACACAGGCTACCATATCTGAAGTGACAACTAAATTCTGTGGGTGTGTACCATATCTATGAATGGCAAGGTTCTGTCAGTTTCCCAAGTTCTCCTACAATCTTGCTGCAAAGTATACTGCCTTCATCATGTCTGTAAATCTGTCTGTCCAGGATACTATTTGTTGGAGAAGAAAAATTTGTATGCAGAAACTGAGAATCTCTCTTTTGTAAAAAATAAACCATATTCAAAAAGTAATTTGCCACCTTAGTGCTATGCCATTCAATTAGTCTCCTGAAGTGAAGGCAGACCTTGAAAATTTGTGAAGACAATGGCCATGAAGCCACAATCATAAAATGATTGTCTACAAGTTCATCTCCTCTTGATATTGCTACAATGATATGTTCAATTTCAGCGCATTCTGAAACTTGTTTATGATTTTCAATCATTGTTAACCCTGCATTTCATTAAATATGGTATATAGGCTGTCTGCTGCATCTGTCCACAGAATTCACCAACACTATTTCCAGCTACAGGGTAACCAGTAACCCACACTTCTCAGTCTTTTGTACAACTTAATGCACAACAATTAAAAATTTCATTAACATTTTATCTGCATAAAGACAGCTGCCTAAAAACAAAACTTAAATCACTAATTGAAATTGCACAGGTAGCATGGCATAATGATAACTTGTTATACAAGAACAAGTCAATTAATAACCTTACTTGTACATGCCATGTCTTGTTGCACCTACAGCTTATTGCATACAGAATTTTCCTACTGTAAAAAGCAAAAAGAACAGGCTGAATACAACCCAACAAGATTCTTAATCCAAGTTGAATTCAAGATACAATGTAAGACAAACTATCTTCATGCTTCATGTCATGTACCTAAGACACAATAGGCAAACTAATTCCAGTCACGACATCAGCCAACATAACCTCACAGTAATTTCTGTGAATTAAAAATGTACATTTTATTATGGGGTCCGCAGTCTGAGGCGTGGGCCTTGTGCCGCTTGGTCGCTGGGACCGTGGGTTCGAATCCCACTCAAGCCATGGATGTCTGTCCGCGTTTTTCTGTGTTGTGCTGTCCTGTGTACAGGTAGAGGCCTTGCGACAGGCCGATCCCTTGTACAAGGAGTCCTACCGAATGTCTAGAGATCAAGCCAACAAAAAGTTGGGACCCGCAGTGCTCAGGCACTTGAAGAACAGGTCGTTACCAGTATCCCCAATACATTTTATTGTATTATAGTGTACCATATTAAATTTTATCATCACAGTCCACAGATACTGCCTCATAGTTGAGAAGTATATCCATGTCTTGTGTGTTAGCCACTTCATTTCCTATATTTATCAGCATGGAAAATAATGAAGATACATGCTGCGTTATTTTTCATAATATCGGTGTAAAATTTTTCAAATATTATTATATCACTGTACAGACTCTCATTCCATACATTCTTGTAGTTACACTATACACAATTTTTAGACATATTTAAAATAAATATGGTACCAAAAATTATATATTTAAAAGAAATATGGTGCCACAGTAACTTTCATAACAATCAGCTAACTCACTCAATGGGTACACACACATACAGCATGCATTATCTTGTAAATCTAGTCTGTTTAAAGAATTCTGGTAAAGACATCTGACAGGATCGTTGCAACAATTGCAAAACATAAAGACTAACAATTATTGAAGGAATGGAGAGATCTCAGTGAAGTCTACCAAATACAGACAGGTTCAGCTGATAGTTATAGTATTTTGTTCAAAAAGTTACTCAGCAGTGCTTTTTTGTGGTTTATTTAACAAAGCTGTGTCAGTAGCTCATACTATATACCACCAAATGACAGAATGATTAACTCTTTAAAGCCATTATAACTATATGTACCACCTAACACGGGATTAATCCACATACTTCTGATGTTTACAGATTGAAATCCAGAATGTTATTCTTGAAATCATGCGAAGGTGATCTTCAGCATGTCACATAATGTGTTACACTGGTGAAAGTGTTTCGATCTTAGATGACATTGCTTTCAGCAGCTGCTGGAATATCAGGTAAGTAAAAGTGGCTTACTAAGAAATTTTTTCAAGCACAGATGGATCCTCCAATTACATTATGCAGTAGGATAGTTTCTCATCCAAGAGTAGCTGCCCACCGATCAGCATCTTGCTGTAAGAGGCAGTAATAACTAATTAAATAGATGGCTTACTGATCCTGAAGGTTCACCACCGAATTAACCAAAGCCCTCCACCGGTCCCTGTCCTAGGCCAACAAAATCCAAACCCAGGAGGCACAATCTTCGATAGAAAAAGACAATGCCTAACACATGCAGACGACGTAGTGATTTTAGGACGAGCAGTGAGATACGTTACAGAGACAGTAGGTGATATGGTGACCATAGCAACTCAACTAGGACTCACAATAAACACAACCAAAACAAAATGTATGATTAATATAAAGGATAATAACAACAAACCAAAGGAGATTGAAATAAGTGGCCATAAATATGAAAAAGTTGAAATGTTAAGTATCTAGGATCCCTGGTAACTAAATATCAATGATATTGAAATAGAAATGAAGACTAGACTAGCTGCAAGTAATAAATGCTACCATGCACTAGGCCATATACTAAAGAAAAGGTATATAACCCAATTAATAAAAGTAAGACTATACAAAACAGTAATAAGACCTATCATAACATACGGTGTGGAAACGTGGACTCCTAACAGAGAAAATGCAAGAACTATTAATGACACGGGAAAGGAAAGTATTCAAAAAAATTAATGGGCCAAGAAATGAGAACGGATGTTGGAGAATAAAAATGAACCATGAAATCTGAGAGAAATTTAAATCCCCAGACATTATCTCGCATGATGCTGACCACTCACCTCCATCTAGTGCTGAGGTCATGAAAGGAGTAGGAGCTATATCTCTGCTCCCCCCCCCCCCCCCCCCCCCCCCAAAGTGCCTGCATAGGCATGTAGCGGGACGCTTTACTTTACAGACATAATCTCTGCAATTAAATCACGAAGATTGGAATGGCTCAGGCACGTTATGAGAATGAATGACACAGGGGTAAGAAGAAAAATGCTGGATGACTAACCAAGAGGAAAAAGGAGAGAGAGCGAGAGACCTAGACTGAATGGTTGAATGATGTGGAGGCAGACCTGAGGAGTGTGAGGGTAAAGAACCGGAGAACGTAAGCATTTAATAGAGAAGAATGGACATTGATCACAAGGGAAGCCAAGGCCAGAGCACTACAGAAAGAAGAATGTGGGTCATGACAACAGCAGTCATTTACAGAAGAATGCATGTCACAAAAATGAGATTTAGACTTTATACATCTACCTCCTATCTCCGTACAGATATCAGTAGAACACTGTTTAAATTAGGTACTGGAGGAATTCACTGACCTTATTCATTTTGGTCTTATCACAAAGATTTTGATTACCACTACTCATGAAATCAAATTTTTTGTTGTATGAAACAGCTCTATTTTTGACATGTACTTCATTTTCTCAATCCTGTTTTGAATTATTCCTATCATCCATACCATTCTTATGGGAGCACGTCATCCCATTAACATAACACGGAAATTATGAAAGGCAGTAGATCTTGAAAAATCTCTCATGCTAACATGAAACTTCCTAAATAACTCATGACTGTGTGCATATCATGTGAGGTTATGTTACCTTCCTGTGCTATATGTGGTTCTCTTAAATCTGTCAACATAACATAACCATCAGCTCTGCAACAAGAAACTGAATACAACTGTCAGTTTAAACTCTGTATGCAACAAACCACATGCTACCTATAGAAAGGGCAGTCAGAGCACTTACAACAACACTAGATTGCCAATTTCTCTCACATGTCTGGTTTTATTAACTGACTGTGACAATTCAATAAGCAGCACCCATACATATAATAGCAACTTTTCAAAAACTTGACACTTTTCTGTGTTTACAATAATAGTCTTGAACTACCTCCAGACTAGAGAATAATATTTGGAAAACATTGATATAAGTATAATGGTAAGTGCTCCTACCTCCCTCCTAATATACCAGGTACTTTTTACCACATCAGTTTTTATCGCCTTAGGTACAGGCATCAGATGCTGGATTACTGACCTCCTGAACCAACTGTGTCAGTGTGTCACATTCATGTAGAGAATCCAGTGTGTCAAGAGCCAGTTCATCGTCAACCGAGAAGGACAGCTGTTCAAGTAAGGGATTGATGTTCCGCCTGGCTGCAAAGCTTGGTCCCATTGTACGAATGTTGAGTGCATTCAGAGTGAGCTGACTTACTGACTTCACACTACTTACATTCCCAAGCTCTTGCTGAAAGGGTCCATCATCCTCACAGCCTCCAAACATGGGATGACCTAAGAGTGGTGTAGAAGGGTAGGACCGGGAGGTCAGTGCAGCAATGTTCTCAGAAGGCAGGCAGGTTGCAGAGGATCCAACCACTGGGTCCCGAGTGTTACTGATGGACTGGTAAGGAAGAGGGGTGTTAGGGTAGGAGCGAGAGGGTTGGAAGAGAAACTTCTGATTATGCTGCTGAGCAACATCTATATCCAGTGTCAGCATCTGCTGCTGTTCCTTCTGGTGCTCTTCCTGCTGTACATCATCCAACAGGTTGAAGATGCGATTCAGATTCTCAGAGTTCAGCTCAGTTGTCTCTGCATCTCCGTTCACCAAGAGCAAGTCAGTGGAGGGGGCAGTGGAGCTGTCACCCACAGAAACAAAGTCTGTGAACTCGCTTGGTACTGGAGTTGCAGCAACAGAACTTGTAGCTGATGATGTGAAGTGGTTAAAATTAAAGGCAGTGGTGCTATGGTTAACATATAGTGGTGACTCCTGTTGCTGTTGCTGGCTGGCTGATGTCATTCGATGGAGTGGCACAGATTGAGACCGATGTGATGATGGCTGCAAGCCAATTGCAGTTGTCAATACTGATGTAAAATTATGATCATCTGGGAAGAACTGGCTTACTTCCTTTGCCAGAGGATCCACATTTATAGACAGGCCAGCAGGCCTATTTGCCACATCCACTGTGCCTGGAAGCAAAGTGTCCTGTGTGTCCATCTTGCACTTGGCAGACACAAAGGTTTTCTTTGTGAAATCAGGAATGTTTGTAGTCTGCAATACTTCCTGCAGGAGGCTCTGAGGAGCAGGTGAGGAGAAATGATCAGGATTGGTTGATGGAACTGATAGCGGACTACTGGCAGAACTGACACTCTGCTGAAATGGGATCATTGGAGACTGTGGTGCTGATACTGAAAGTGGAGACATGGGAGCTGCAGAGGTATTCAACGCTGTCTGACGACTGCCAGCCTGAAGAGTAGGCAGATGGAGCTCGCCAGGCACTGCAAACATGTTCCTGGCCTCAGTGTCAAAGTGTCCATTTGTTTGTCCTGGCAAGATACTGTCTCTCACAGCCTGAAGCACTGGGGTGGTGATTGACATTGCACGGGGGCGAGGAACCTGATACTGTGGCAAACCACTTGAATGGCTGTTCACTGAGTTAGAGCGTACCACTCTGGCTGCCATGGTGGAATGCCTGGTTCGACCAAGTGTTAAGATATTCCCACCATTCTGCATCTGATGTGTTGCAAGGAATGAAATATTATGGTTCAGGGCTGTTTGTCCAGAGTTGTGCCTTGATCGAGGCACAGGTGTATTACGTGGAGATACAAATGGGCTTGCATTGGCACTGGATGGCTTTGAGGATGCTCGCTGTGGACCCAAAGGTGAGTGAGGACCTGGGGATATAGGTGTGAAGCTGAAGATGCGTCGCCTGGTGTTTGGGCTTGGTGGAACTGATGCTGTTGTATGGTGCACTCCATCGTGATAGTGTTCCATCACTGATGTCTCAAAACTTACTCGGCGACGAGAACCAAAGTTCATGTGTGTACCATTGGACAGCAATGATGGGAGCAGAACTGCTGGTTTTCCTCTGGCGCAATTCTGACTTCTCTGAGACAAAAGAGACAGACTGGTTGAAGCTGGTCCAGCAGTGGCTGTGGTGTTTACAGCTGCTGAATTTGGCAAGAACACATCACCATTTCCAGGACTGGCATCTGTAAGATCCTCAAATGACAAAGATGAAGATGGGGTTTCAGTTGAACTTGGTGGAACACTTCGTCCACCAGTGGTCTTGAATGGCCCACCTCTACTAACACATGGGGCTTGGTTAAGATTCTTTTCTAATAGTAGTCGAAGCTGGGACAATTTGTCAGATTTGCTACTCTCCGCTGTAGCAGGGTATGTTTCTGAAGCCTCTCGGTGTGTCCCATCCTCTGGTTCCTCATTACTGGAGGAACTATTCTGATGCTGAAAGTACCTCATCAGTTCCTCCTCCTGCTCCTGTGAGTTGTTCCCACCATGTAGGTAGTCATCCAGTGCATCTTTCTCTAGACAGCCAATACTAACAGAACTCGGCTCCTTGTTCATACCATCAGCCAGTACAACATCACCTGTACCAGTCGTGTCTGTCTGCTTTGCACATCCCTCGTCTCCATCCCCTCCAAATCTCTCTCTGTCTCCTTCATTATCAGGTTTTGGTTGAATAGGTTTGTACTTAAACTTCGGCAATTTCTGCTGTAGAACTGGAGGGAAGATGATCACATTTGCCAACTGTTTGGTTGGTTTGTTGGGGTTACTTAGTCGTGGTATTGGTAGTTTATTGACTGGGCTACTGCCCACATTGGCAACTGGATTTGCTAGTACTTCCTCACACACTGGCTGAGTGGAAGATCTCTTGACAACATTGTGGTTTAGCTCCTGTACTGGAGAGAATGTGGTGGGTGATTTGTTTGTACTTGTGGTGTCTTGATGAGATGCTGTGGATTTCACCACTTCATCTGCACAGTTTGCAGAATGAGACCGCTTCAAGCTTGCAGCTTCAGTCCTTTGAGAGCTAATGATAGGCTGCTTCTCTACCTCCAGAATATCTCCTATGGCACTGAGATAGCGTGAGGCAGTTTTGTTGCATGCTGCACTATCCCTACTGTTTTCTTGTACAGGATTTCCATTTACCATCCCTGGTGTACGCTCTCCCTCAACTTGCTGCAACCTACAGCTTCGTCTCCTTCTGCCCTGTTTGGCCCTGCTGTAGTCTTTATCACAGATTGGCCCATCTTCTGAGCAATTTCCCTGAGTTGCTATATTTGTACTACCATAAGTTGTTGCCTTAATGCTCAGCTTTGGACGCTTCACCTTCTGTTTTTCTGAAACTGATGACACAGGATTCCTCTTGGTCAGAGCTGCAGTCTGCTCCTGTTGGCATAATACTGTCACACATCAGTACACATTAAATGTCATACCTGTACCAAATTAATATAACCACGTTATTAATCTTGGTAATCCTAAAATGTGACTCACCTCACAATGAAAAACCTAAGTCACACCACTCTGAAACTTCACATACAGTGCAGTATCAAATGAGCATTTTTTGACAAAGCATCCCATTAGATGGTAACAAATCTATTGACATGTATCGAAAGCTTAAAATTCTTTGCTCCTTAGTGGTCTTTGGTGAGAGTATTTTGCTTGATTAGTATGAACATTTATAAACATGATAAGTTTTAGTGGTCTTTGGTGAGAGTATTTTGCTTCATTAGTATGAACATTTATAAACATGGTAAGTTTGAACTGCAAATAAATAAGATGCAGCCATATTGGTTTATTTAAGGAAATTCACTGTGAGCTCTTATGTAAGACACTCACTGAGCAAACTACTTCTATGAAACACCACTCCAAAAGCTAAAGTTTCACCTTGATACATATACAGTACAATGCTTGTTATCATCTAACAGGACACAGATGAAATATATGGTCAAAACTGTGACTGGGAAATCACCAATCAGACAGTAACAGGTGGGTGACAAATTGCCAGCTCTTCAAGCCAATGGGGTAATTCCTGAAGGGAATGGTGGAAAAGATAATGTGTACTGTAAATACTCAGACTAGATGTGCTGTCAATCACTTATGTCATGAAGATAGAAACTGATAATTTCCCCAAAATGTGGGCAATTCAGCCCACCACAGAACAGTTACCCATAAAACACACTATTAGAAAATAAAATCTCTTACATATGGGCAAATGTGAAGTAGCAGAATTCCCACCTGTAATTTGCGTTTCTGTTCCCGAATCACCTCACGCTCCTGAAGCTTGCGTTGGAGCTGCAGCTGTGTTTCGCGGTGCTTACTTACTGAACCACCTGGTGACACCACTTGTAGACCCACTGCTGCCAACAAAATAATGTAATGTATGCTTCTATACAGATCCTACTACACAGCAGAAAGCCATAGTACCTGCTTCATTTATTGTCTTTCTCATTTTTATTCCACTGTATTATACCTGTATAATAAGAAGAGAAATTATTCACATACTGTGAAACAATTGTAGGAGTTGAAGGACTGATATGGCTCTGGAGGGGTATGCTGATGCTCACAGGCATACTCTATTAAATACCTGAATGCCCCCCATTAATTCGGGCTCTGTCAGCAAGTCCAAGCTCTTATCTCCCAGTGGTGACCCCTGGGCAATGCACTCTGTGGTGGCATTTGCCTAAAGGGGTTGACAAAAATCATGAAAACCTCAGTCAGGATAGCCAGTTTGCAAGCTGAGATTTGAACCCAGGTACTCCAAAATACTTATAAAAATTACTCCTCCCTGTTGTTCTTGTCCCTTGCCAAGCCACTGGCCTATCAAGATATTACCTCAGTCCATTCATTTGTTTCACTGAACATCTAAATAATTCATAAAATAAAAAAATTACAAATAGCAGAAATTATTATTTCTCCAAATAATATTGTAACAAAATTAAAGGTTAGCTAAAACATTCCTAATAAATAAGCACTTTGTGATGAAATAAGATCCTAAAATGCAATAACATTTATAAAGGAGTCCATTTCTGAGGTGGCTGCAGTATGAGGTGAAATCTCTTACCTTGTGACAGGATAATGACTGACAGGGGACATACACAAATAATATGCACACCAACTGTGATAGGACCCAATATTCTCTACTTTCACAGACAGAAAATACAAATCTAACAGGATATTATTTCCATTGTTGCTGATGACTTTGATGGGCTTTTCATCTATGTTCATAATCTCATGCTGTTTTATTTAAGAGACCTCATCCTACTGAATATATACAGAATTCAAAATAAATTGACAATAATTCTAGTTTTCAAAAAGTGAAATGTCCTAACTTGATGTAGATCTACACCCAACTGACCCAGCACTAAATGAGTTCTTTACTCAGCATCATGTTAAGAAAGCAAACCTTTCCCTCTGCATAGCTTTGATGAGCTGAGGCTTGGTACTGCCTTGCTTCCAGAACTTGATGACAAAATGGTGAAAGCAGCGACAGAACGGGAGTCTACACATAGGTTTTCAACCAAGTGGCACGCTAGATCACGCAAGCTCTTGAATGTCACACCCAGCAGTTTTTGTGCCCACTCACAGATCAGGCAGGATGCTGCTGATAATAGCTCATCCTCAGAACTGGAACTACTGCTCAGCTGCAACACATAACCTACTTTAAGCTATCTAAAACTAGTCTAGAAGTCAATGCATACTTAAAGCAGATATGTGAATGTGTCAGAATCAAAATTCTGGATGAAAACAAACATAAGGGCTATGACTGTACAGGAAAACTACAAGAATCAAGTTCTCTCTAAAATTATGAGAACTATATTAAAATGTACAAAAATACAATGAAATGCAATTGCAGTAACCTTACACAGACTCAAAATTCATTCACAAAAATATGTTCAAATGAAAGTTTGCTGATATTAATATAGAATTTAGAAAAATAAAATGTCACATGCAGACTGCCTATTTTAATGTTAAATGAATTATGAAACTCATTTCTATTCATGATTGTTGTACCCCGATAATTACATTTTTAAACATTTGCACATTCCAGATTACAAGTCCTAAACTATGACACAACAGCACCTATACTTTGATGTTTACCCACCTTGGTCTCCTCACCAATATCTGGCAGCAGCGGTACCTCAAGTTTTATTCTCTTGCGCATGCCAGCATAACAGTAACGTGAGTTGCCCCTTGTACCAAGCCGGCGAGGCCTGACACAAGGGAACACTTGCTTCATCACCTTTCCAAAGTCAGCCGTGGAAAGGGGCTTCATACCATTGCTGTTACAGTATACACTGCAAACACCACAGTGAAGCCCTGTTTCAATGAAGTACTCAACTTAAAAAGTATTCCAACAACCTCTTTGATCCTTCATAAGACAAAATTAATCTAAACAATACAAACATTACTGTCTTAGCTTAAAGGAAACACAATGCATCTCAATTACCAGTGTCTGTCTGCTAAGTGTGACTGGAAAAGTAATCAGTTTGTTCTGAGAACCAAATGAAATTCATAAATCTGTGATCATTGTAAAGTGTTACAACTGATTGTCTTGCATGTAATTAATTATTAACTTGTGGTTTATTTAACAATGTCACCAGCTCAGACTATACAGCACTGACAATTTTCTGTATTATATATATTTATAGTTATATCCCTTCAAAATGTTTTGGCATATAAGCAGGAAGGATTTGATTCTGCCTGAATAAACTTCTCAAATATCTCCACTCTGCACTTGCTAATGTCTCATATGTCATATTGTTATGTTGTACAGGACCATTTCAGTCATCTGAGTGGTGGAACTTCACACATTGAAATTAAATTGGAATAAATGTGATATCTAACTGAATAATATTTACTATAATTATATCAGAAACATTACGTTTTCTTCGAGTGCCTTTGCATGTACTACAGATGAAGGAAGATTACAATTTTGACCACTAGAGGAAAAGCAGTCTCACTAAATTAGAAGCTAGAGGTTTCCTCCTGGTGAAGATTCAGCAGTATGTGAGAAACAGTGATTTCTTAAGGACTAAAACTCAGTGTGGAATTATAAATTATGTAGAAGGATACTCCCTAAAAAAATCTGAGAAGTATGATGAGGACAGTGTTTTGAACTACTGTGGAATACAATGAAATCTGTTTGCTTGTAAGTTATGTTATAGTGTACCAAATTAAAAAAGAATAGGTGTATTAATTATCCTTGCACTGTTATAATGGCTGTAATGTAAGTATTTCCACGTGTAAGACCGGTCAGCTGTGATGTCACTCCAAGCAGAGGGCTAGAAGCGTATCATGCCATCTGTGGAAAAGGGAACAAAGGATGAGAGATGTTTAGAACATTCCTGAACGAGATCGGAGCAGTCCGAGTCACCCAGTATGGTCCCAGACCCTCTATGGCTATCAGGAATTTTCTCAAGGTGTGTGGACTAGTCTGTAAGCTTATATAAATGAGTTCTGTGTGAATTCAAGGTCTTTCACTGTGAAATAAGTCAGTCTCACTGCTGTGAAAACAGACAACATTGACCAAGGAAATAATTAACTGTAATAGTTGTGGAATAAATACATCTTGTAGTTTGAAGAACCCACAGTGTAATCACTCAACATATAACAGTATGCAGCAGTATATGAAATATTTGGTTCAGTAGCTGTGATTTACACCTCAGACCTTTACTAATCCAGAGGCATGTTAGATTTATTTCTAGATAATTATAAATATTTTTAGTATAGGGACTACTTAAATAATGTTTAGCTACTTCTTTGTAATTTCTTGAGACAGTACTTGTTAGCAATATAATGCAAACACAAATAAAAGGATGTTTAATGTATGTTTTGTTTACAGAGTTCTACTAGAGGTGCCAGGGCCAATGCTGCACTGTTGTTTTGCCCTTTTTAGTTTGGTGTCTCCCTTTTTTTGTAAGTATTTTCTTGATTCAACTGCAGTGTGCCAACAGTCTGTCTTGTTCACAGCATTCAATGTTTTGGCTAGACTGGACAAGTTATAAAAATTATCCATCCACACAGTATGGACCTGTTTCAATAGAGATTCTGTCAGTTTTAGAACAAAAGCTGCTGTTGTTTTATTAGTATCAGCTGTGATCAAGGGGGAGTCTGAGTTTTTGTTGTCCTTGCCTACATGTACAAGAATGACCACAAGTACCCATTAGTAACATCACACAGCTCAAGTTTTAATTCCAAATTTCAATGCCTTGAGAGGAAGGTTATGTGTGAAAGATAGATGGACTTCCTGAATAATCAGTAATTCATTGTTCAAAATGTCCTGATTTCATAAATACAATTCCTGGAACCTGTTATATAAATGTGAAATTATGAGCAAAATCGTTAAGTTTCTATGGTCCTTGATAACTGCTGATGGTTTCATCATTTACAAACTGCAAAAATGTTCATATAGTTTAACTCCATATCTTGTTGTAAAATGTCCAAACCCTGCTGTTGAAATTACCCTCTTTTTAGTGTAAAATATAATCTCAGATTCGGTTCTTGAACAATCCCCGTGAACATAACGAGAACCACTACAACATAAATTTCTCCCTGTCACAGGTTTCAATGCCCCAGCAGTTGACCTGCCTGATAATTTATGACTGCATAGAAACTGCATGGCATATCTATTTGTCTCTTCAACCATTTTATCTGTGAGTTCTCTGTTCAGAAACAACCAGAGAAAACCAAAATTTTTGTCACTTATTTTACAGAAACTTGAGGTCCAACACTACCCCTGAAATTTTCTCTTTGTCTCTTCTAAGTCTTCATGCCCTCGCATACATAGTCTTGAATGATACAATCTTCATCACTGTCATCATCCACCAGAACATAAAAAGTGCACATCATTCAATTGATTGTCACTGTCAAACTCCAGATATGATAAACTTTCTTCAGATTTACTGGCAAGTAAATATTCTCCCATTTCATCATCATCATGCACAACAGCTGATTGCTTCCTCCTAATATAGGCCATGGCTTCTACATGGAAACTACATGATGCATATTTATAGAACATAGTGAACTCTACAATAGAAACATTCACATAAAGAAGCATTATTCATTCCTATCTGGCCAGAAGTCTTTCTTTTATCCTACTCCCTGTGAGTCAAGATCACAGACTAAGCTCAAGCTGTAGTAACTACAAGCTTTTTCTTGCTGTTACAAATACATGAATGAAGGCAGCACTGTCTGGACCATGAAACAATTCTTGCAAATCCTCAACAAAGTTGTTCGGTTTATTATTATTGTTGTTATTTAAAAAACAGCATGTGCAAAACGTACACAACCTCAGTTTTGGTTCACATCAACTAACTAATGTATTTCGTTCATACGAATTCACCATGGTAGAGACAGGGTTTAGTTGTAATGTAACACACCACCAGGTCACACAGAGAACTTTTTCAAGGATTTATAAAGTAATATAAATGCCATGGGAAAATGAAAGTGTGAACACATATATGAAATAAAAGTCCACAATTTCCTCTTTGATTTCATAACAGAAGAGAAACTTTACCTCAAACACAACAATTCAAGATACAAGCTGGAACCAACCACTGAATTAGGCAGGCAGTGATGTGATAAAATTGCCAGCATTCTATGAAGGATTAAAAGATATGGACAATCAGGATTTATGGTTCTCACAACAGTGAGTATGAAGATGTCCGTCTTCTGTCATTGCTGTGATGACGAAGGCAGCAAGGGCGTCTGAAATAGTAAAATCCTACCATATTACACGGAGCTACAACCCAGAAGACAGCCATCTTCATATGGACAACTTTTTTAAAGGATGCTTCTTTTTATTTAGATGCTTGGAATTAAATCTGACCAGTGAGGGGTACAATAGCTATTTAAATTGAGTACTATAAAGGTTGATATACAAGTAATAGTTTCAATATTTCACATAACAGGATACATCTGTATTTTGGATTACTTCATCTCAGCAAAACTGCACTTTTGAATGTAACACATATCTACAATTTCATAACATTGAAATTTCAGGTGTGTATTGAAATTGCGTTCAAGAACAGAATACTAAAGCAGCAAGGGTGGCAGGGAAGAAGTGAGAAGTGGAAGAGTGTTGGGAGTGGACTAGATCCTGCAACTTTCCCCAGTGTGTTTGTGGACAGTATGTGGGACATGATTCACTGTCATCAAAGGTATTCCAGAGTATAAACAATCTAGAATTCATAATATATTGATGTGTTGGGGTTGGCATTGTTGAACTGTTTAATGACATTGTTGTTGTTTACCATGTGTATTGATGTCCTTATAGTTTCTCCAACCTGTTCATGAGAAAGAATAGAAAGCAACAGTACTCATCATTGCCTATTTCAAACATACAATCCTAACTCAATGTAAGAGTTCAGTCATTATGTAGAGAAATCCAAAAACAAGACAAAGTGAAAGGTCCAAAATATGTGGCAGTTTCAGTACTGCTGTTTGTATGGTCTTGCTCCATCATTAAGAACCAAGCCACAGGTTTGGGAGCTGGCTCTGCTCCCATCTTCAGGTGAAAATGCCTACTCTGTTGAGTCTGATAGAAGGGGCTAATCCAAATCTAGGGACCCAACAGAACACATTTTCATTTGAAGGTGGAAGCAGAACCAGCTCCCAAAATGTAATGGCTTCATTTTTAGAATGCTGAATGCAACACTCCACCATTAGAATCCTTTATAGTTACATGTCCATTTGTTAATCAAAATATGCATAAGTGATAAATACATACTGATGTGTTACAGAAAGTGGAATTTTAACAAAGTTTCAGAAAGGTGTGAACTTCTTATGAAGTAAGTATCATGAAGGAGTTTAAATTGAAGGAAGTGGTTACTATTCCACCATCTTTAATGGCTCTTCTATATTACCAGTAGTTTCCATGACTCACATATATTCTTCATAGACATTCTGCTTTGGAAGTGAGACATCTGGGTCCTCCTCCAGGTGTGTTTTGATCCAGGTGATCGTTTGATGTATTTCAAACCGACATCCAAGTGGATTCAGTGGTCTGCAAAACAGTGTTGCCATTAGAATGACAACATATCTAACAACACAGAGTCACTTCTAACCAATCATCTTTTGGAATCAGTCCTACCAATTTCATAATGATATTTCAACCCCTCAACACCATCTAATATGCTCAGTATAAAAGGCCCACATGTCATATGTCAATGTCCACATACTGGGCCACCATTAACTTTGGGTGTCCTTTCTATGATTATTTTTAAGTTGCATGTCCTGCTATTCTTCTACTGTTAAGAAGAATTTATCTGTATTGTCACCTAGCACTACAGACTTTAGTACATTCCAGCACATAAAGATATTCTGCGGCTAAATGGAACCAAGCAACATACCATATGCAAGAATTATGATCAATCCTCATATTTGTTTATGGTTGATACAACTGAGTTTGGAGAACCTTTTAATTCTGCATAAGGAAAGAGGTTCAACTTTATGCCGCCATCAGCTGTGTACAGTATTTACACCGATTTGATAACTGTTATGTCATCATAGGCGTTGCATTCTATCATGTATTTGTTCCAAGAAATACTAACATTTTATATGGAATGCTTGCTTTCACATACTGAGTGCAATGCTATCTCAAAACCATAACAAATAAAGCAGATGGTTCTTGAGCTGACATCATGGCTGCCACTAATAACAGAAAGTAATCTGCTGAGATATAAAAGCATAACATTTAGATATAAGTGATTCAGAAGAACATTTATTATATTTAGATTATGCTACAATTGAAACATTACTGAACAATGATTATGATAAGAAAGGATTGTCGTTCTTTGCAAACTCATTTCATTTTATGTTTAAAATGGTATATGCATAATTCAAAATGCCATGACTATCAAAATCATCACCCTTTATTCCACAGTAGGCCAATGAAGCCCTGCCTGCATATTTTCACGTTTCAGTTGATGTGACACCAAATTTGAAAACTCGCTATCAGTTCTTTCTGGTACAAGTTACATGCTTCGCCAACCTTCATTTGTAATACAACAGTAAAGTTATACAAAGTTAATCAGAAACATTCCCATATTAGGCATTCTGCTTGCACAGTAGTCAGGAGCAACAACACAGTGCCCTGTACCTGGCCACTGAGAACCACCTGTATACCATATTTAAATTTATATGCTGTTTCAGAACAAAGCCTCCAAATAAGCATGTCACCATATAATTTACTGCTTTGTCACTTTCAGCTGCCAAAAATCATTAACATCATACATATCTAGCACAATACATAATTTCACATGAAATGTTTTATAACTGTAAGGTCATGGGTTCATGCTTCTGCATCAGTAAAGACATTTTTGTGCAATTCTGTAAACTTGAACTGCATTTCATTGTTTTCGTGACTATGTATTTTAAGATATTATAAGTGAAACTTTATGTTATTAGTCACTGCATATAGATCATGCATAAACATATTTTGACCTGTATAACTTCCATCTATCTAAAGCAGTTTAACAACACTAGTTCTAGCTGCAGTGTTATCCTCTTCCATATAGTGATGTAATATTCAGGAACTTATGCATGCAAATGAATGAATCAGATGACTGAATGGACTTTGCACTTAATTTCAAAGAAGTCTTTCACTCTAATCATTTCTCATTCACTGACTGACCTCAGTCAACAAGATCATTAACGAGTCTTAGTTCCTGGATGTCTCCTATACCGGTAGATCCATGTTCACTAGTCTTTGGGCACCATCTCCAGTATTCATTCACATTGTTGACTGTAGCAGTTTAAATTAAGTAACAATTCTCCATTCATTATTATTATTATTTAGTGTTCTGTCTGACGACAGGTCCATATGAACAGGATCCCCCCATCCTTTTCTCGGACTGGGACCTGTTCATATACGTTCTTGGCAGATGATCCAGAAGTGGTTTGCCATTGCCTTCTTCTGTGTGTGAATGGAGTAATTGTTGGGATGCCACGGAGAAACCGGGGAAGCCCCGGAGGAAAACTTCGTGTTGCCTACACCACGGCCTTGCCCAACACAAGTTATTAATTCGGGCACCGCCGGGAATCGAACCCGAGACCCCAGGATTACAAGGCCAGCGTTCTAACCGCTAGACCACCGTGGCTCTTCTCCATTCATTGCACACAGTTAATATGCATTCTTCGCACGATGTAAACAAATGAACGCATACACAGCTGTTAATGTATGTCTGCATGATTTGATTAAAAACTGCTACACAGATTTGGAAGAAATGTGGTATAGATGTTACGCTATTGGAATCTACCCAAAAATCATAATTTAAAATGTCCTACAATCAGTAATACCAACATGGCAGACAGAAATCTTGTGATATGGACACTAGCATCACTTGCAGTAGGACCATACAATGTACAGTTATAGATTTTCAGAAAAAACAGAAATCTGAAAAATTAATTCTCTGTATAATGTAAAATAACTACATAAAAGAAAAAAAAATCACTTAACCAGGATTTGAACCAATGACCCCAAGCATAAAAAGGTCTACGATGCTACCACAGAGCTAATGTGCCTTGTGAGATATATATATATATGTATCAACAGTACTTAAAGTAGACATTAAGGCCACATGATTGCTACACTTCTGTAAAATAACTGGCATCGTCTTTTATTAATATTGGTTATTGTTCTTCAATAACTTTTAAAAACTATTTCAGATAGGTGAATTCAAAATTTGCAAAGAACACATATATATTCTGATACAGATTACAACTTTTCAGTCTTGTTTTGTAAGGACTGTACATTCTGAATTCTTCCCACATCATGCATGATACACTATATACTTACACAACTTTTGATACTTTAAATTTTTGTTGGGAATGGTCCCAGAATATGGTCACCAGCAAATATGAGCAGGACTACCCAGACTAGTAGTGGATGGCAACCATGTACTTAATTTAAAATATTAATCACCTCTTGATCCATCACATCCTAACACATCACCCAGCAAATAGCAAAAGTGTGGCATTGTATAATAAATAATATTTAAATACCATAATTACCATGTTGATAAATAAAATTAAATATAATGCCAAATTAATACTTTGAAACAGCATAATCTGTACTTACTGTGTTCTGTATATATGTACTGTTATGATAACAATTTAACTGCTAAGCAAACTAGGTGGTAAATCACCTAGGGACATAATATGGAAGGAGGCAAAGTGAGAAACACCATAAAACAAAATATAAGAGATTCAATTCTAAAGGGTTTTGAGGACGGAAGTTTACACTTAAAATTATTCATTGTTAGGACTTTTTCCATCGTCTGTTCTTTTAAAATCACGACGTTTTGGAGGCTGGTTGTCTCCGTCTTCAGGTGAGACTAGCTCTATCTAAGGGTCCCAACAGAGTAGGTACCTCTCACCTGAAGACGGAGACAGAACCAGCCTCCGAAATGTGATTTTAAAGAACAGACGACGGAAAAAGTCCTGACAATGAATAATTTTAAAATATAAGAGAGAAAAACAGAAGGAAAAATAATAAATGCTTCTGTTTGTTCTTGGCTCTCTAATAACACTTGGTACCTGTCATATACAAATGGTTCATGAGTATGTACTAAAGTTGATAAAGTGACCCGTCAGCACATTTCCTGACAAACAAATTGCCTCATGAATGAGCACCTGTAGTTGTCATTGTCAGCTGCATGACAGATCTTTTGCTAATAAGTCCTGTTTCACTTTTCTTCAGTTTATTTCGTTATACTTGTTTCCTTTCGAGGTTACATCTACAGACATCAATCAGTAACTTTTTTACATATTATTAAAAAGGAAGTTTTCCATTACAAATAATTGGAAGCAAATGCATTAATTAACACATTTACATGATCTACAGCCATATTATGATTAAATATCAAGATGAAACTACATTGTAGAAATTTAAAGAGAAGTCTACCACATATTCCTGAGGCCTGATCAATGTAAAATCAACTTTCATTATGTACTTTGAGACAATAATTGGGTGTGGGTGTGTGCATGTGCACAAGGCACAAGGTTTGCCTAGAGTTCCAAATACCCTTGCACCAGAACTCTGTGAATAAAACAAACAGATTAAATAAACAGGTCATTAAGGTGACCCATAATAAGATTTAGGTAAAGACCCATATCTACTTCCAAAGGAAAATATGTAACAAGAATATGGCACTGTAGGGCATGTAGTCAGAAGTTCATTAGAAAAATAATTTAGCCAAAACAATTAGTGATCTGCATACATGACATTTTAAAACTTTCAGATAAGAATAAATGACAGCTATGTAAGGAAACATACAAAAGCAAACATTTGTAAAAAAAAATATTATTTCTTGAAATGGATAAACAATAACAGGTCAGGCCTGTGATGATCCATTTGTCAAGCCACTATAAATGAGTATAAGGTAATGGTAGCACAAAATAGAACCTCTTTACACACACAAAATTAAAATATCCTCCCAACTCAAGTGTATGCATCAACATACAATAAGAACTTAATTATTCTTGCAGGAAACAATGTACATAGCTTTCAATGCTGGGGCACATACCATGTCAGATGAAGGTAAACTGATTTTGTTTCCAAACAAGAACAAAATGTATTCACCATTATCACTTGCATTTAAATTTCTGAAGGATTTCCCTTATACTTAACATGACCAACAATTCTTATGTCAGCACAATTAAGTGCTTCTGGGTATATCAAGTAGTTCAACAATACTAATACAAACAAAATCATGCTTTCATCCTGCTTAATGCTGCAAGCATTTTACTCTCTCAAAGTTGTTATGCTACCTATTGTTCTAAAATGGTATTAAGACCATCCAAATTTCAGTCCTTTTGCTACAGCTGAACAGTACTAAATAGCTTACTTATAAACTCACTACACATGTCAAGAGAGGCCTTTTGAACTGTAAAGTTACATTTCGTATTTTGGACTCACACCAAACATACTTACTGCCGTAGTGGGTCTACATTGCCACTCTTCCCTGTTGGTAACTTAAGGTACAGTAGCAGCTTCTCAGCTGTTGAAAGCTCATTGACTTGGTCCAAAATTTTCATCACAGCTTGTTTAGAATCAGGACTGAAAAAAAAATCCATTTTTTATCTTCATTGCCCAGCTTACTTATCGATGTACAGAATACATCAACAGAGATTCACAATTCAAAGATAACATGTTGCATGTTCAATCTGGGTTGCTGTACCTGATGGCATCTTCTACAATCTGTTCGATCTTGCTTGTTTTGTTGTCAAGGCCATTAGTGTTCAACTTGTCCAAAGAGAAACTCAGATTGTTTGTTTGTTTGTTTTCGATGCAGTTGGATGGATTATTGATGCCATCACTGGTGGCAGCCAGTCTATCGTTTGTTCTATCACCTGAATCATTGCCCCTGCTTTTGTTGTATCGGCTCAACTCCATTGGAGTACTGTTACAGCTGTGCCTGATACGTTCAGACTGTCCGTTCAAAGCCGAATTTCCAGAAAACTCGGACTTGATCACTCCTGGCACAATACATCTCACCGTGGTCCTTTCCTGTGGTTCTGCCCCGTCCATTGCTCCGAGTTGGATTTTCGATGACAATTTAATCCAACTCCCACCCGATCCAAACCAACCATTTTGTCATACCGATCAGCTGGGCAACTTGTTCATATTGGTGTCAAAGATATAAAGAAAGATACAGTTGTCATTACAATTAGTACAATTATTTCTGCCATCTGCTTCAAACAGAATTTTGTAAAACCCCACAATTTTCATAAATATTTTGTCTTTGTACGAAACATTTTCGTTGCAGTACTACATAAATAATGATTTACGCATCCGTTTAGAATGGGAAGAAGATTGTTAGCGGAGTGCAACGTCTTCCCTTTTTATAATCTTTGCTTCCCAGCCGCTAGGGATGTCGTAAAAGCATGTCGCAAAAGTTCCAATCAGATAGTTACGCTACCGTCGGCTAGATGACGCAAACCTTCATAATATTAAATTGTTTGAGCAACCTTGTTGCATTCATTCTTGATAAGCGATTTAAATTTCTGTTTGTCAACCGTTTTATCATTTATTGACTTCGTATGCTCCTGATTTGTGCAGTTCTGTACATCCTTTAGCAGACAATAAATACTTCTAGTGTTTTTTTTAATATTCAGCCTTTCCAGGTCCCCGTGTTTCACTTTCGTACACAAGCATCGGGACAACAATCGTTTTGTAGAACGACATTAGGGTTTCATAGAGTTTCATTTGTTTTGCCCTGTTTATATCCTTGTTACTATACCACACGTCATCTGTTTTGAGAGTATTTTGGGTCCCGGAAAGCTGCTGTGGCAAACAATTATATAATAGATATAAGTAAAAATGGACGTAATAAATACAAATTTATACAAATTGGTAGATAGACAAATAAACAAATAAATGAATAGACCAGTGGCGGAGCGTGATTTGTTCAAAAGCGTTGACCAAATCGCGAGGCAGGTGTGGTGACATTTTTGGCAATTAAGTATATACATCGTAGTTCAGCTTTTGTGTTGCACAATCACAAGACGGAACACGGCACACCCGTACAACAAAGGGAAAGCAATTAAAGGCGCAAGTAATCGTTTTTCAAAGTGTTAGGTTAGGTTAACATGTATTAATATGTAATTCACAAATAAATAGAAAGAAAGATGAGAAATATTTAAATAAATGCATGCATAATTAGATAACAAATTAAAGGTAGATAAATACATACTCTATCAATAAATAATAAATAAATGTGTAGATAAATAGATAATTGAATTAGTAGAAAGACAATTAAGGAGATAAGAAAGTAGGAAAAATAGGCACGTAGATATAGATAAATAAATACAAAAGACAAATTCCGTAAATAGATGGATAACTAAAAAAATAAAGGAACACATAACGAACACCTGCTGTATATAATAGGAATAAAGATTTGTTTGTTTTTATCAAGTCATGTTGTGTAAGGGTTATTTTGCGTGACTGTCAAAGGAAACAGGGAAAGATTTGAACATTCACTCTGTATAGCAACCTGATTCTGACCGCGGAGACCTGGGTTCAATCTCGGTGGACTTAAAGTGGCGTTTATGGTGTACGAAGTGGCACTGGAACGGATTTCTCTTCGAGTTTCCTCGCTAGTCAATATTCCACCATTTTATTTTCAAATTTACCCATCACTGCCCCTTGAGGCGTGCGATAACCCTCGGTCCTCAGCTGGTGTCTTCGTCTGTGATGTGGAACGTAGCAAAGGAAGTTGTAGCATTTATTTAATAACAGTGACGAACGCCAAGTTTGGCCATATTCTGTCATTGGTCTCAAAAAATATAAGTTAATCTAGAAACACCGAACAAAGTTTTCCTTAAAATGAATCTAATTAAACAAGAATTGAAATGGTTGAAGAAAAGATTTTAATGCACCTAAAATTCTATCTCCAGACTGTAATGGTTAACCTCCAGCCCCGATAAGATGGTTTTTGCAGTGCCCTGTGGTTGTGCTATGAATATTAATGTCTCTGTAGTCCGACAGACAAATTTTATTTATTTTAGTGAGATTTCAGGTTCTCGTGGCTGTCGTC